TCAAGTCTGAAAGCTAGCGAAATGAAGTAAAAAGTGAGCCAGAGCAAGTGGAGAACGTTAAGTAAATCAGTGCTTTGGACAGCTTTTCACATGGCCCTTCCAACAGAATAACAATGATTAGGAATAATGAAGGTAAGATAAAAGGAGAATACGTAGGACAGATATAAAAGCGTTCATTATATTACTATTATATCAGTAATTACTAGTACATTCCTTATGTGTTCTCAAGCAAATTCTCTCTTAATCTCTCTATGTCAAAAGCCATTGTAATCAGGAGTTAATGGATTGTCCGAATGCAGGCGTCAAATGGCTAGAGTGGTGCAGCCAGCTGTGTTCATTTGGTGAAAAAAGGTCCAACGCTGTTCCTGTTTTGCCAGGAAAACACAAATCCATACACAAACTCTCACAAACCAGAGATGTTGACTCATTATGTGTTAAGGTGCAATCCACCAATAAACACATGAAAAAAAGTTACGTCATAATAAAAACTCAGCGTTATAAAGTTCAGGTTTATATCTTGACTTACATAGAAAGGGAATTTTAAGAACCTAATACTAAATCTAAATTTTAAAATAGTCTGCTTGAAAACAATTTGATTTTATATATTTTACATGCATCAAATGTATTGTCAAAGCTCTCACTTTAGGTTGCTGTGACAGTTTATTTGACCAAAGGAGACAATACATTTGATATATGCAGTGGAGAAAAAGTGTGCAATTACCTTGATTTCTTTTTCTTTTACCATATTGAAAGAGGAATACATTTTATTATTAAAGGTGCCCTCTGGAATACCGTTTTTACCTAATTACTGAAATGCATTGTTTGTATCCTGCAGGCCTAACAAACATGTTGAATGCATTTCCTTTCTCATAAAACTTCGGCAATTTATTTTCTCCATCTGCGCTGTTATATCATTGTTTACTTTCCAGCACTTTTTTTCTTCCCTTCCCAAAAGGTTATTTGCTACGTTTCTTGGCGATTAAAGACCAAACCGGGGCTCACCAATAAAAACATTGCTCTATAGCGCTAATGGTGTGTAAACATACTTTTAAAAGATATTGCAGTGAAACAACAAATCAGGAATTTTGAATTCTTCTTCTTCACTTTGGGCTTGATTTCAATCAAACTGTGCCACCAATCATGCTTTACAGCTAGCTGAAGCTTGCTCAGCGTCCAGCGTCCATAGACAGGCTTTAGAGAGTTGGAAAGCAGTTGAATAGGTCAGGGAAATATGCATTTAAAGGCAATGCAATAAGAGCAAAGATGTAAATGGAACTGATGTGATACTAAAAAAATAAAGATGGTTTAAATTGATTAAGCTTGTCCACTCCATAAGGCAATTAGAGCCCAATACATGTCATGCAGACATCATTGGCCAAGAGCAGAGAACATCACTGCAGGCATTTCTCACACCATAATGAGAGACAGAGGCCTAAAATAATCAGTTTCTATTTCTTCATGAAGAAGTTTAATAAGAAAACCAGGAGGGCCAAAGAACATGAGGTGCATTCTAAATACTTGATGGAGTCAATTTAATGTAATTTTCAGATACACCTTAATGTCTGTTTGTCCACTTCCAAGTAATTCAGCATGAACATATAAGCCAATTTTATATGAGAAATGAAAAGCGTGAACAGCTGTATTTCTGTTGAGGTGGCCATAGTGATATATAAAGTATTTTGTATGGTCCATGTTGCCTCTGTCTCCCTCCTCTTGGTAGTCTATTTTCTCTCTGGTCACTCCACTCTGCTCCTCTAATGATTTATCGGTCCATCTCTTCTCTCTATTTGCTCTTTGTGCGTCTCGCTTTTTCACCATCCTCCTGCTTCTGCTTTTGTCCTATCAGGTGCTAAGATCTGCTTCACCTCTTTGGTTCCCTGCACTCACGCACTTTGAGGAACATTATTATTTACGGAATTAGGTAAGGGTATAAAGTGCAGCATGCTTTTAGCTTCACGGTGAACATGATGACAAGAAAGGATGACCAACCTCAGCGGTGAATAATAAATGCAGAGTAAGTGGTGTTGTGTTTTTACTTATGTTGTCAAAACACATTAACCAACACCTGTTGTTGTAGTCCGGAGGTTTGACAGCTTGTTCTTATGGCTTGAATTAACTAGGACAATCAAACAAGGATTCAACCAATCCAGTCAAAACATTGTTCTAAATCAGAAAAATATTCCATCTGTCCTTTAATGCTGCTGCTATAAAAGCCTGTTGTTGGAGGCTTTGTTTGTAGTTACCGTAGTACCATTTTGCACATGCTCATTTAACATCTGCCATGTTTTTTATCAAGATACAATTATTTATTTTTTTGAATTGTCAGTAAAATGCGGATCAACTATTAAGTGAATTCTGGTATACTTGAATGCACTCATCTAGAATGCAAAGTAGTGCAGCAGACGACAATTCAGAATATACAAATGCAGAAAGGCTCGCAGGAATACTGTATTGATTTCAAATATTTGTTCTCCTGCAGATGAACTTTTGTCAGTTAATGTGGTCCCTATTGAGTCAGCAGAATAATTTAGTCAGACGTACTCTTTTGTTTCTTTTGTTTTTCAAAGTAATTGCTTTAAAAATGTATGTGGCTGCTGTTGAAGCCAATGGTACTTTAATTAATTTGTATGAACTGATCAACCCCTAGACTGAATAGCTCATATGTGTTTCAGCAAATTTTCTGTTTTAAGGAATATTTCAAAATTGGGGGGTCCTTTCAATATATATTGTAATATAAGCCTTTTAGTGAAAAATAATAAATTCTCAGTTTAAATTAAGTGTGAATCAGCTGTGTAGCTGTTTGGTTCTTTACATCAACGTATCACTATCATTTTTTACAAGTTCTCTAACCTCTAAGCCATTTAATTGTATTCAGAGCAACTCAACAAAACAGAAACTATGTGAGAGTCCGTCATGAGAATAGAGCAGCTCTTACATAAATCTTTGTTTTTCCCTCAACGTCATCCAATAATAACCTCAGCAAAACTTTGACCATCTCCTTTTCAGCACTGTTATATGAAAGGTAAATAAGACTCATAACATCAGAGGTAAAGTACTCCTTTGCTCATCGTGCTGATACAAAATAAGACTGATATATGATTTCCCTTAGTTGAGAAAATATATGAATATACTTACTCAACTAAGCTGCGGCATCTTGCTGGAGAGTGACGCGTGTGGTGGAATATTTCCCCACCAGCAGCATCAAAGCTTCTCTATAAATACACGCACAGACGCAAACACACAATGACCCACATGCAAAGCAAACACACAGGCTGCAACTACGAGAGTGAATGAAAATGGGAAAACGTTAAAACAATTATCCCTTTGGGATTCTAAATGGAAGAGAAGGAAACACACATACACACAAAATCATGCACAAACACACCGATCCAGAAAACATCAAACAGAAGATGGCCTTAAACGGCATGTTTGTGCTCAGTCTTATCAAAAAAGGTTGGCTATTTATCATGAAGATGAGCCAATTAACTACTGTCAGTTCAGAAGACTGATTGTTTGATGAGATTGAGAAGAGAATAAAATATGGTCATGTTACCAATAATGCCCTTTTTGTTGCATTCCCCACATTTAATGTATGTTCAATGTGTCCAACAAAGATAGGTCTAAATCCTGCCGATGATAGTATTTCTTTAATTTAAAAAACTCTTGATAATCTGCATCAGTATTTGAATCCTAGTTAAAAGTAAATGTAATGTTGCCATTTGTATTGGCAATAGGTGTTGCAAGACGATACAATGAATTAGAGATTTTTTAAGTATGTGTAAGTGGGAAAACAATAATGGGAGAGAATGTAATGTGTGGTGTAAGGGAGAACTGTGAGTGGGAACTGAAAAGTAATTTTAAAAAATGGCAAAAACCCTGTGGAAGAAAGACATTTCATTGTCTTAATGGTCGAAAGAACTGTCAATAAGGCAACCATGCAGCAGTTGGACATTCAATTCCATATCGCTGTTACATTGACTAGAGAATATGTTACTTTAGTGTTTAGCAGGGAGAAAGCCATACTCTACCACCTTCCAACACATGTTCCCATTTTACATCTCATCTACAAGATTTACTGCTTCATGACACAGACAGTGCCGCATTACAAAAACCATCAGAATTTGTACATTTTAAAACCAAAACCATTTATTTATAAAACAATGTGCTCTCAATGTGCAAAGACAGCTATGAGACCACTGATAACCTGTGATAACCATATTTCAGATTTAACATTTTCAAGACAGGAATTTTGAATCCCCACTTTTTGACTGTTCTTTGGTCCTCTTCATATTAGTAAAACAATGCACAGATTCCCTTTTAACAATCCTTTGAATTATGGTCATCAGAGATATGCCAGTTTAAGACCAACTAATCACGTGCAGTGTAATGTTATCTTATTAAAGGATTAAATGTCAAAACACATTTTTTAAATGAGCCATTGCTCTTAAACGGGATACCTTCGTGGTAAGCGTGGCGCATTCATGTATAAAGCACATCAACAATCCATTTAGGTCCTAAAGAAAATGGGAGACTTTTATACATGAGATGTGATTTCTCTCCGGGATAGGCATTGTCTGATTTTTGCTGCACAAGCACGAAAAAGACAAATGTCAGAAGGATTTTTTTGTCCCACGGGAAATCACCTTAAATCCGAAAAGCCAAAGGATTAAAATCAACCGGTGACATGTCCCGAGGCTGTTTGAGGCCCCTCATAAGTGCATGTCTGGCAATGAGGTGTTTTGTTATTGTCGCCTCGAGTCCGGAATCATAACAGGTTTGGACTGTCCTGTCCCTCCACGAGACAGCCCACCATTTGTTTCATTTTGCAAGAGATTGTTTGCAGAAGACTGTATCCCTTATGATCCCTTTTATTCAAACTGTCCCACATATCTTATCATATACTGTATTTTTAAACACATTGTCAAAATCATGACGATTTTTTCCTGAAATTTAAATATTAGTGTTATAAGAGGAAGTGTTTAGCCGAGTGTTAAACTTACCAGTTTGATGAGTGGGAATTCCCTTTACATCCTACTGCAGGTGTTGGTGCGCTGCGCTATCTCCAACACTGGACCCCGATTCACTCCAGAGCTCTCCAGGACAGCCAGCTGTCAGCCAAAAACGTGACCAGAATAATTTGCCTCCGTTTTGACATAAATATTACAGCGGGAGGGGGGGAGAACCTTGCACGTCTGCAGATGCAGAGCTCAGTAGTGATGGCTCACAACACATCAGGTAATCTCACAATGTTTGGGCGTTTTCTCAAAATTCCCCACTCAACAAGGCGCTCCACCTGTCCACTTTTATGCAGCAGACTTGCACAGCATCCCACACACGGACCGGCCAAACGCATGATAATGCGCTAACCGCTCGCTGGAGCGCAGTCGCTCCATCCCATCGACCAATACGGTGATCTGCAAGCGCAAGGGGAGGGAGGGAGGATGGAAAGGGGTTTTTGTAGGAGGGAGGAGGAGAAATGGATGCGGGAGGAGTGGGGGGCCGGGGATTGTGTGTGATGGGTAGCCTTCCTTCCACAAGGACGACCTGAAATTCCTCAAGGGTGAACGTTCCTCTGTTGTAATTCAACGAGTTCTCCCAATTACTTGCCTCTCCCTCTCTAAAACATTTTACACACACATCACCTTAACTCCCTCAAAGGAAAATGACTGGATTCAGGCTTGACTCGATAATATCAGTCTCCCCACTGTGGAGGATGCTTTTGAAGGTTTATGTCTATGCTTTGCTGGCTGTGCAGTGAGTGTCTCATATCTGAATTTCCATGTGGCGACTTCATCACTTCTGTAGGATGAGATGGTTAAAGAGAAGATTGATGAGGCTTGAATACATATTTCACCTGAGATTATCATCTCAATGTAAGTGGCATCCTTACATGTGGAGTATTGTAAGCACGATTACTGTGAGCTGTGTGCAGAGATCAAGGTCACTGACTGGAAATGTGTGACCTTGGGCGCAGGGTAAACATGAGGTCCCTGTCACTGCAGTTCTCACACTGAAACACAGAAAGATGTTTTAGAAAGAGGTGTAAATTACTGTGCAAGTGAATATGTGAGAGAAACTGTGCAGAGGGAGATTTTGATAAATGGTGTGAACACCTGGAGTGTCTGAGGAAAGCCGGGTCAGCCGGCTTTGGCTCTTTGGAAACTCCCATAGTGGAATGTGTGCTAATATACCAAACAATCTTAATTAACACTTGTTATGTTTGTTTTCCCCAAATTAATGTATTACAAAACCAGACTGATATTTGGTAAATGGTTCCTGGACCCTGTTACACTTGCATTTGAAGTTTCCATGTTTGACCGTTTTATGCTAATAGACAGATGGTGGAATAAATACTGTTTATATAACCTTGAACGAGAAACATGACATGCATCTTAAACTAAATAAAATCAATGATGCCTCTCATGCACCTCCACCCACATTCCTTGGCTGCCCTAGTGTTTTATTCTATCCTTATATTGACAGTGCATTTTTCTACTTTGTATCAGTATTATCATCATGATTTATAGAGTATAGCCCTTCAGTTTTTATTCGTGAAGGTGTTATTTTTAAAGCAATAGTTTGATATTTTAGGAAATATGCTCACACACTTTCTTGAAATGAGTTAGATGACAAGATAGACACAACTCTCATTGTCTGTTTCGTGAGTGGACAGCTACAGTCAGCAGCTGATTAGCCTAGCTTAGCATAATGGCTGGAAACTGAGGGAAACTTACAGCATGGCTTTTACTGAAATGTACCTCACAACACCTCTAAAGCTCAGCAATAAAAAAAACACACACCTCTCTTTATACAGAGTCCTGCAGGAGTCCCGAACCCACATAAGTGAGCATTTTTAGCATTTTTGCACATTTGTTCCTTTCTTATTATAAGGTCTTGTAGTCAACACAAACGTAAGAATTCTTTACATTTTGTTCTACAACATAAAATAAATAAGTAAATACTTAACGCATTATAATGTTTGTTAAAGAAGGAAGTTACTTAGTAATGACTAAAGGTGATTACAGAGGTTGTTAGGGACACAAAGAAACGTATCCACTCAGTGGTAATGTTGAAGTCATGCAACCATAGTTTTGTTCATAGCCTAATTTCATCTTTTTACTGGAGATTGTATTTGTGCCTCAAAAAGACGGCATCCCTGAAGCACTCCATTGTGGTTTTACAGGGGGTTATGTGGCGGACAATTTCTAGGAGCAGTAACTTCTTGAAGTAACCAAAGATTAGCTGTCAACCTCGAGACTATAGCCACATCACAACAGTATATATTTTTTATATATAAAAAGTGTGGTAGTGACGATTTGTTACACATGGCCAAAGTTATGCTAGCTGCTCCAGTGATTGTTCTAAGCTAAACTAGTGGTAGCTATCTTCTCATCTACCTCTTGGCAAGAAATTGAATATGCATATTTCCAAATTGTCCGACTATCCTTTCTCAAATAGAATATTGCAACGTTATTGTGTCTTCACATTGTATTATATAGGCCCATGTTTGGTGCTATGCTTTATGTGTGTGTTGTAGAGCCGATGAATGGGAGTCGGAGGCGGGGTGTTCAGTATGGAACTCTTTTATTATCATGAAACATCAGACAGGTAATACGTTAGCTGTTACTGCATGTGAAGCTAGCATGAATGAACCAAACACAAAGTGAATTATGTCCTCACACGTGACACCACACAAGCCCCCCGAGAATTCACACATAAACAAAGTCTGTGCGGCAGGGAGGAACAACACGCCGACCCCCACGACTCCTGAGCACGGGAGTCGGAAAAGCGACTTCCGCCTGTGCGGCCCCCGGAAGAGGAGGGACCGGAACAACAGGTCCGAAATCCGTGACCGGGGTCACAGCCGGGGGGCGTCCCCGTCGCAGAGGTCGAGCCAGCACCACCGGCTGGCCCAAGTCCAGGTGAGCAGCCTTCACCCGGTCCACCGAGACGTGCTCGGCTTTGCCACCCAGGTCAACCACCAGGTGCTTGTCCCCGTGCTCCAAAACCCGAAAGGGGCCATCGTAAGGGGGTTGTAGGGGCCTCTGTGCGCGTCGTGCCGGATGAACACGTGCCCCGCCGAGCGGAGCTCCGCAGGAACCCGGCACACTTGGGTACCGTGCTGAGCAGTAGGGACCGGAGCAAAAGACCCAGCGACGTCCTGTAGGAAAGCCCGCTGGGCTGTCGCTGACCAGGGAGCCGATGTATTAGGAAGGAAATCCCCAGGAACCCTCAGCGGCTGACCGTACCATCTCAGATCCTCTTTAGGCGCAGTCCTCAGGTCCAACATCACCCAAGGCAGCTTGTCGACCCAATTACCGTCCGTAAGGCCGGCCTTGAGGGCCGCCTTCATGGAGCGATGGAAACGCTCACAAAGGCCGTTAGCCTGAGGGTGATAAGCGGTAGTCCTGTGCAGCTTAACCCTCAGACCACTCGCCACGGCGTTCCAGAGCTCGGACGTGAACTGTGAGCCCCTGTCCGAGGAAATGTCTGACGGGGTGCCAAAACGACACACCCACGTCGCAATGAAAGCTCAGGCAATGTCTGCGGCTGATGTTGACACGAGAGGAACCGCCTCCGGCCAACGGTTCGTCCTGTCCACCATGGTGAGGAGGTAGGAAAAGCCCTGAGAGGAGGGCATTTCAACAACTAGGTTGATATTGACGTGGTCCAACCTCCTCTCAGGCACCAGAAAACGCTCCAAAGGGGTCTTAGCGCGGCGGTGCACCTTAGCGCGCTGACAAGCCACGCACTCACCAGCCCAAGCCAACGCGGTCTTGACCTCCGTGAAAGCAGACGCAGCTTCCGCCGTCCAGTTGATCGCCTGGATGGGGGTCGTACCTTTCAAAGCCTCATACAGCGGCCGCATAATGTGAGCGGCCCGGGCGATGAAACGGTGGTAGAAAGTCACCATCCCCAGAAACTCACTGAGTGACCGGGCTGTGAGTGGGCGAGGAAAAGCCGCAACAGCCTCCACCTTCACCGGCAGGGGTGCTGCACCGCCTTTGGTGACGCGGTGTCCGAGGAAGTCAATGTCAAACACCCCGAACTGGCACTTTGCAGGATTGATGATCAACCCGTGTTGGCTGAGCCTCGCGAAAAGGGCTCGGAGGTGTGACAGGTGCTCTTCCAATGAAGCGCTGGCGACGGGTATGTCGTACAGGTAGACGAACACGAACGGCAGGTCCCGCAGCACCGAATCCATCAGGCGCTGGAACGTTTGGGCGAAGTTCTTGAGCCCAAAAGGCATCCGCAAGAACTCGAAAAGTCCAAACGGCGTTATCACTGCTGTCTTAGGGTGCGTCCAGGGGATGCATGGGCACCTTGTGGCAACCACGCACCAGGTCACTTTCGAAAACACCGACGTACCGGCCAGATGTGCGGAGAAGTCTTGGATGTGCGGCACCGGGTCAGGTGTCGGGTCAGGTGTCATGGCGTCATTGAGGTGGCGGTAATCCCCACAAGGGCGCCAACCACTGTTCGGCTTGAGAACGACGTGTAGAGGAGAGGCCCAAGGACTGTCAGAACGGCGGACGATGCCCAGGTGTTCCATGAAAACTCCGCCCTCGCTACTGCAAGCTTAGAAGGGTTCAACCGCCGGGCCCTGGCGTAGACTGGGGGACCTTCGGTGGTGACATGGTGCTCCACCCCATGCTTGGTGGTGAGTGCGGAGAAGATGGGCAGCGTCAGGTCTGGAAACTCAGCCAACAGCCTGAGAAAAATGTCCGCTCCCGAGAGCGAGCCCGACAGCCCGTCGTACGCTGCCTTGCCAAGTGTACACACGAGGGAGGAAAACGTCAAGTCATCAACCAAGCGTTTATTTTTAACATCCACAAGGAGTCCGTGAGCACATAAAAAATCTGCCCCGAGGAGGGGAAAATAAATGTCTGCCGTCACAAAATCCCAGTTTAAACGTTGTCCTCCAATGCACAAACACATAGGCCTCACGACGTATGTGCGAATGGGGCCGCCATTAGCCGTCGTCAACCGCGATCCATGTCCCCCACGAGCGACGTCTTCCCTCGAAGCAGGAACTACACTCCGTTGAGCCCCCGTGTCACACAAAAACAAGCTTCCCGAGACTCTGTCGCTGACAAAGAGAAGCCTGCTCGTGCCGCCAACGCTCAGGGCCACTACCGAGCGTTGGCCCCTCCGTTTCCCGGAGGCTTGTAGCTGCAGGGAGCGACACACTTCTTCGCGCTTTTCCCAAACCGCGCGTGGTAAAAACACTCTCCTGTGTCTCCACGCTGGCTTGCTGCTGTCGTGTCCACTCTCCCCCAAGCTTTTTTGACTGTTGCGGGGGCGCTGAGTGTCACAGCTAGCGCCTCTGCACCGGGCTGCTGGGTAGCCAAGAAGAAAAGGTTGGCTTTTCAGCCAATGCACGGGGCTCTGTAATGGACGTGTTGGCTAGCGCCGTCTGGACACGGGAAGGCAAGTGGCGCAGGAATGTCTCCATGAATAAAATCCGGGGATATTCACCTCCTAGCAGATTTAGCATCCTCTCCATGAGCTGAGATGGCTTGCCATCCCCTAGGCCAGGGGTCG